CGAACGACAACAAACTATGTTTGTTTCGACCATGTGAAACAATTTAAATTAAAGTTAAACACATAATGTAAAGAATCAAGATATGGAGAATGACGATTCTTCGACAAGTTATGATGTAATGTTTCACTTTGTGCTATTGATTGACTTATATAATTTCAAGAAATCTTACTGACTAAATTTAAACTATGTTTGATTGAATTTGGACAAATTTATATACTTATCTGATAATAGTTGGCACGCAATAATGCATTAAGCAACAAAAAAATTGTATCTGAATATTGCAGATTGTATTAATTAATTTAATCATCGATTAATCGCGATTACTTTTATTCGGCTGTTTTTGCTTGTCAGTATATTCGCAATTTGAACATAGTGTTGTCAAATGTGAAAAAAATTTCTTGACACAGTGTTTTTAGTTATATCGTACAGGAAATGGATAAATACACATGAATGCTGATCTTGAAACTAACAAAGAAAGGACCAGGTATATAATACATACCGGTTTAGCCTAATTTTAAATATGTTGTAGTACTAACCGTCTGCTCATTCATAGATACTCAATACTCAAGCATTCTAAATTCCGTTTTAGATCGTTGAATTCATTATTGTACCCTTAGGAACTCCCCACTCCTAATTTTTTTTTGTCAGAGAATAATGGTTTATGTAGGGAGCGGGAACAGCTGCGATATAATCGAAGTCTCCGGAATAGGAAAATTTTTACAACGGCAACTATGAGCGCTGACTGATATTATAATATAATGTAGAAATAAAATTCCTTGCAGAATTTAAAAATTATTTTGGTATCTTTAATTGCATTGCAAATCGATATTATTTTTATAATTGCAAGTGTGCGATATAAAGTATATAGAGCATAAAATTTAATAATAAAATAATAATATATTGCCTAATCATTTACTTATAATTAAGTGCACGTTTTGTAAATGTAAAAGAAATTTGGTAAGAGAAAGATTCAAATGTGCAGCGTTCTAGTTCTCAGTCGTATCTGTTAGACTACGCTTGCTATCTGCCAAACTTATTTGCGTACTTATTGTTAATATACAGATTGCACGAAACTTCCGATGCAAATTTCTCGTTAATGTTTGAGTACTTGCGTCATGTCACTTGTTCATGAATTAGTAGAGATGAGTTAGTACTACAACATACATATATTTAAAGTTGAGCGAAATCGGTATGTATCCTTGGTTCTCCCCTTGTAAGAATTAAGAAATTAAAAATAAAATTAAAATAGAATAAAGTTTTCTTTGCACGTAATACAAGTAAATAAATCAATTAATTCAATTAACAAAAAAAACATTGTTTTATATGTTTGAATTGTCAGACATATATTATTTTGTAAAAATAGAAAATATTTCTTATATAATTTTATAAATAATCAAAACTCGTGTACAGTTTTTTAGCATCAAAACGATAAGAAAATGTTTATTCATTGGAATTGTGTACCGTGCGTAAAGAGAAATAATATTGAAATAATAGGTTATAAATATATAATATCGAGGTTTTATATCGGATACTGATTTTATCTTTTGTATATAATTTCACACGCAGTTAAAAACATTTTTTTGAAATATAAAGTTATAATATTTTAGCCATCTAATAATAGCAGCTAATGAATAATAATTCGTTCGAATGTATAATAAATGTTTATTTCCAAATGTCGATACAATTTTGACCATTGTCAAATAGCGATTTTAAAATTTCTCTCATGATCCTTTATTCTCGTATCTATTGCGTTAAGATAAACTAGTTGTGCGCTGTTTTTATTTAATTAGGATAAAGTAGCCGTCAGTCAATGTGGCGTATCCCCGATGATGTCATAACCCATTACGAAGGCACCTGGTTGAGTGACCTTTCGATCGATATTCCAAGACAAATGCGAAACTGCATCCAAGGCAATCGGCTCCAGATACTTCAAAAGTCTTATATGTATTGATAATGCTGTAGAGATATTATTTTTTTTATGTTTTAAATGAAGAGTTTTGTATAATTCGGTGCTAAATTGCACCTTTCAAATATCAGTTTGTTTATATATTATTTTTAAATTGTAGAGATATGTTCAATTACAGTGATGAATATAAAGAATACTAATGCATAAAAATACGTATATTTTTTTGTTGTTCGCATTATTGTTCGACATTCAATTTTCGAAAATTTTCAAAACGGTAGTTATTGGAAAATTTGTTTTGTGCAAATTGTATATTTTGGACACATATGGATGCACACACGTGTATGTGAAATATAATATAAATAAAAATATCTAAAAAAAATTTTCTGTCGAGTGAACGAATCTAGTAGTCTGTCAGAAATTTCGATGTGCTGGCACAACATAGCTCCATCAGAGCTGAGATACAAAAATTTCTCGTGTGTTATTACAACACGTATAGTATGATATAAAATGCACTTGTTGATATTTGAAAATATCAACATTTATATGTGTGTACATGTATATTATTTTACGATCTTTTGTAAGGAAGATAATGCTTCAATTATTACTTGATAACAAAGACGTAGAAGAATTTAATGCATGTAATAACGTCGTATTAAAAGATTGTTTCAGAGAGCAAATTTCGTCAAAGTAAATTTTATAAGGACCCGAATATTCGAATTTTAAAAAGATGAAAGTTTACCAAGTTCTCAGAATTTATTATACTTCATTCTTTAAGTACTGAACAATTTCACAATGTCGCTGCTGAATTATGAAAACACCATATACTTCCTTATCACGAAATCTTGACAGATAGTAGAAATATCTACATTTCAAGATAAAGACCGATCAATTCTTTCTATCGAATAATCTGGCTTACGCTGGTTAAAATTAAACTATGGAATGCGCGGATAAGCTGTTATCAAAATGACAAGATTTTTTGTGTAAAAATGTCTCGATATCTCTTCAATTCTAAAATATATGCGTAAATTCTGCAATATATTGTGTTGATGGACATTTTTGAAAATGTGGTTTTTAATTTATCACTGAAAGTGACAGAATCTGCAAGGACTGTTTGTGTGAGACATAACGATGCGACAGTTTCACAATTCTTGATTTGACTTAGAGATTCTGTAATCACATCTTGGACTATAGAAGGCAAAAGGTCGCTCGAGTTTGCCAATCACGAAGAAATATTGAAAATCGTTGTTCCAGAGTTCATCTGCGGTCGACGATCTTGCTTTTGAAGCTTTTCGTCGATGATATAAGTAGAGAAACAATTTGACTTATATGTGCAGGTTTACATCTGTTTTATTGATGAAAATAATCGTGAAACTATTCAGATTTCTCTCTCTCTCTCTCTCTCTCTCTCTCTCTCTCTCTCTCTCTCTCTATATATATATATATATATATATATATATATATCTAGATATATCAATAGTAAACAGTATAAAGAAGATAAAAATGTACGAATATCCGATAGGCGAAAGTTAAGATACGTATTACTTTTTGTGACCAAGAAAGAATGATTCCTGCGTAAATTCATTATAATCGTAAAGCGCGATTATATATAAGTAGAGAAACTATATAAAAATATTCTGCTATATATATAGATTATTCTTCTCTTAAGGTTTTAGATCAATTAAATAATAATATTTAACAAATTTTCTTAGGAAGACAAATCGTATTATTTTGTAAGAAATCTGTGAAAAATATCAGAATTATTTCTTTTAACATCAAAAGAAAGTAGAGTTCAATTGGAACAATTATGAATTGACATATCTAACATTAATATATTTTTGCATAATGCACTTAAGAAAATTAGAATTGAATTAAATTCAAGCAAACAAGGCCGTAGAAACTTCTTGCGCTGAAATTTTTAACAGTTATATATAGTATCAAGGGAGCAGTAAGCGGAAACACGAGTTACAAAGTTTATCGAAGGAAATATGAAAAATCAGGAAATCTCTCTTTTGAAATTTAAAGTAATTACTCATCTGTCACGTTAATTGTTTAAGCATTATCTTTTTTATGTATATTCTATTCTCATTTTTGCTTTATATAACAATTTTACTCATATTGTGCTTCAATTTTCTGCATATAAGAATCAGTAATGCCGAGTAAGGCGAATCGGATGCTGAACTTTTTCAATATCGTTTTTATGACGTCGTAAAAACAAAGACGCGACATATCCTTCGCAAACTACTTTCCTGTTTGATTTATATCTGATATCTCTTCGAATATGTCAGCGACATCATGCAGTGGTTAGTAAGACTTTGATTTTTTTTTTTATTCACAATTGCTATTCGTTGATGATTCTCTTATTGGAATGTGAAAATCATCCGCAAAATAACCATTTTCTTTCGGTATGACGACGTTTACGACTATTACTCGTAAAACGGAAAGAGACGTTATGAAATAGCATTTCAACAAACGCGTCAGTTCTCTGTTTACAAAGCTTTTATGTCTGTACGTGTGTGTGCGAGATGTAGAAATTACGTCGGACAGAAATGAGAGAAAATGGATGCAAATGGTTCTTTTATTCGCTTTTGAGAGAAGTGTCCGTTAATTTCTCTGAAACAATTTCGTGCACTTGACGTTTGGTGTCGGAATGGTTCAACGGGTTTGTTTTGACTGACCCACTTTTCTCTTTTGATCCGTTTATTGTTAGGATATCGACCGCAACGATGGCAGGACGTGCAATGCATATATAATATTTATGATTTATTTGAACGGTTGTTTTAAATCCATCTCTTCCCGTGCTTGTTTGTTAATTTTAAATTAGGAAAATGAATAAATACGCTTAAGCAAATTCACGAGTGTTGATTAATATTCTTTTAGACTTCTGTTAAAATGATATGTTGTTTCCTTATAATATAAAGACGTAATTTTAGAAAAAAATATCTACAATATTAACATTATATATATATATATATATATATATATATTATTAACATATAAAATATATACATACATACCAAAAAGTTATTTATTTATATTTGAAAATACAATGATTAATTAAAAATATAATTGTCAGTTCGGTATATGTTTTGTTAAATATTAAAATTGATTTTCGCATTCCGCGCATTAATTATTTTTACTTACACGGCGTGCTTTTTGATCCAATTGACGTATGATGAAACACGTGTGTAAATGGCAGGATATACCCTGTCAGAGCAACCATATCCCCACGAGACGATTCCGACGAGTTTTCCATCGACGGTGAGAGGACCGCCGGAATCACCCTAAAAATGAAAAATCATAGCTTTAATCTGGTTATATAAATATTACAAAACTTTAATTGAAAAAATCACGCGAAGATGAAATTATTTATTTTTTCAGATTAATTCAATATATATCTCTTTGTTAATATAAAGTTAGCTTATATATTCTTCTTGTGGTTAATTTAATTACACTGCTAATGAATAACAATTCATTTTTGCTTCATTCGGTCTAGCTGTCGCACGATTTTGCTGCCAATTAAATTGAAGTATAAAACGAGGAGAACTGAATGTGCTTCATTAATGATATGAAATAATCAACGGCACGTATCGATCAATATACGATAATCGTCAAAGATTTCTCGCACGCATCAAAAAATAAATTAACTGATAAATTAAGTTTGATAAATACATCAATATTGATAAATAAAAGACAATCACGATGAGTCCACGTAATACAGCTGTCGCCGATAATATAATGAGATCTATGTCAGACTTTTCTTGTTATCGCGATTCGCGGTATATTTGGAGTATATTATGCAACTCAAAATACATGAGTTACATTGAAACGTTGTGCTCGGAGGTCATTAGATAGAATGGGTGAGTTGAAGCTTTGCGTGTGAGAAAAATGGTACGAGTTAAGTAGTTAACGACTCTATCTAGGCAGACAGCGTTAAATTGCACGTGCGGCCAGTACTAATGACAACGATGTTACTGCAACGCTTTGTAAATGGTTTACCTGGCATGAACCCTTTTCCACAGTTGGCTCGTATGCGCAAATATTCGTGTCGAAAATAGGCTGCTTAAACCTCCAGTACATAGATTTGCAGTAGGCCTGATCAGCTATTCTAATACTAGCGACCTTTAATTTATCGGTCTCGATTCCGTTATACTGTAAGCGTAAATTACAACTTGAGTATATATGTGATGCTTTAAAATCAATTTGAGATGCGTTTTTCTCGAAATTTTTAATTTACCATTAATAAACGTCTAACTGCTTAAATGATTAACACTTTTAAATGAAATTAGTGTATTATCACTGTTAGCATTGATTTATAAATATTTCTGACTTTTAAATATAGCATTGCAAACACAGTCAAATCTTACAAATTCTTAGTGAATCTTATTGCTACAATAAATGAAGCAAGACGGAGAAACAGAGTGAGTCTTTTCATTAAAGATCTCAGTGAGATCTGTCTGATTTTCCGTCTCAAATTTTGTCATTGCTTTAATCTTTAATCAATAACATGTTTACTGATTCAATTTAAGAGAATGGAGACTTACCGATTCTGCCCCATATCCCGACACGATTGCTCTTGAATTAGCTATCACAGTTTCATTTTGCTTGGGTAATACGACAGGAGATACCAAAGTAGAAAATTTTAATGGAGTTTTAAGCTAAAAAATAAATGTTTTATTTTTATATACAAACTTGATGTTTGATCTGAGTTTTTTAAATCACTCAATTTATATAGAAACAATTTATTGTCTGTACACATTGATATTAATTTAACTAACATTACCTTAATTAAAGCGATGTCATTCCTAAGTAAGTCGTATTTCTTATGTATATAAACCGATTCGATAAAGTGCACAGCGTGCGGTTGTTTTAAATCTGATCCCACGACAACCTTGACAAGCTCGATGTTCTCACTGGAAAAGACATTACGTAGAATATACTCTTGTAGAATAATTATACAATTTTGTCGAAGTTTTCCTCGAACTTTCAGTGTCCCTACTTACTGATTCATGCAATGAGCGGCGGTCAACACATACTGTTGGTTGAGTATAATTCCACCGCAGAAAAGCCTTCCTGTGATAAAGTATTGGAGAGAAACCTGAAATAATACATTTTATATGTGACAATTCGAGATACAGAACTTTTTTGTGTGTTATTATAACATATATCTTTACTTTATCTTTACTTGATTTAACTTTCTTTTTAGCTTACTGCTGAGTGAAGAAAATTAATTTAATTTTTAAAGGTAATTTAATATCGGTTCGAAGTTTCTCGTAATATTGTGCATATTTATTTTGGTACTTTTGAAACGATGATTGATATCATAATATTTTAATAATAATTTGTTAATAATTTACCTGATACGGGATTTCACTTGGTTTAGCATTTACTCCTCTCACAATTCTGGGATCTAATGCACCTGTGTTTATAACATTGCGTGATATTTATATAAGCTTAGTAAATTTATTAAAATTTAAGTATAACTACATTAAAATTTAAGTATAACTACATTAAAATTCGAATTGTGTTTTTTACTCACCATGACAAAAAGATAAGAAAGAAATTAAAGATAATAACGTTAGCTTCATATTTAGTTGTTGTCTGCGTCGTTATTAGTATTACTCCAAATATATAATGACATATTTACGATGTAAGTTATGTGTATTTATATGCCCGATAAACCTAGTTTTGTGTTGTCAGATTAGATAGAAGAAATATCTTGTATATTTACTAATCTTGAGTTTAATAATTTTAAAATAACCCTTGATTAACTATAATATCTCATTCATTACCTATATTCTCACTGTTTCCAAATATCGATATTTTTTTATCTGTAACAGACATTGATAAGTGCAATTGGTATCATAAATCACATATTTCTTACAAATTCCAATCCAAAAACAAATATATACAAACGAAGATATATTAAAGCAGTTATCTTTAAATGCACATAATACTAAGATTCTGTACAACAAAAATTTGTGTACGGTTTCTGAAAAATATTTGCTATATAATTTGATATTTTCGTGACTCTTCGCATCCTTCGTCACAACCTTGCGAATTTCAGTTTTAAAACTTTAATACTATTACACGAAGTATACTTCGCATCTCAGGATTACCGGCTGAACGTGACATGTAGTAGAGAGCTGAATGTAATGCCATGGCAAACTTGTAATGTGGAAGTAACATACCAATGCATCTCGTCGAAGTTTCCTACGATTACGAACTTTGGTAATATTGCATATTCTATAATAGAGTATTTTAAGTGGATAAGCTTGTCGAAAAAGCTTAGGTTTAGTAATCGAAAGAATAAATATTATTAGTATTAATAATTACTGAGGATTCTTGTGTGTCACACTCTTTACTTTGTTTGAAGTTTCTGTGAAATTAAAAAACTTTGGCAATTTTTTATACAACATATAATTTATAAAAGAATTTTAGGGTCGATAATCATTTGGCACTATTCTGAATATTGATGCTTTGAATAGATTAAAGACAAAAATATTTATAAAATTCCAGACAGTACAACATTGAAACATGTCCAAAATTGGGACATAAACCATCTCTAAGATGTCTTTTAGATATTATATGATATGATATTTTAAAGATGTCTTAAAGACTATTTAAAGATAATATCCCAGTATTGAGATATCCAATTTTGGATATGATGCTATCTGGAATATTACCTCAATACTGAGATAATTGACGCGATTCTCTTCTTTCGAATTCGTCGGTTAGTATTTTCTTCTTCTTCGCAGCAAACAGTTTACCTTCACTGATTATGCAAGTTACTGCACGATTGCTAAACTCACATTCTTGTTGGCGTTTTAATACCTTGACGAAGCACAACAGAGACTTTGTTGCAAGTTATTCGTGGTCTAGAGAGCGTCAAGAAACGGTGAGATAGTTCGTTTTGCCATCGCCCATCGTATTATCGCGACAGAGAGAGGGAGCTATTTGAATTTGCATGAAGTTGCACGCCGACGAGAGGAAAGGAAAGAGGAAAAGAGAAAGAGAGGAAGATAACAGCTGCTGCGTTTTATCATCTCGCCATTTATCTCACGGCACTTCGCATTCCGGATTAGCGATAATTGCTCGCCCGCTCGCGGCACCTTCATCATCGATTTTTGCTCGCACGACACGATCGGGCTTTTAAATTTATTATTCCGCGAAAATTGTACGCGCGAAAAACCGTATGCGTACGCTTTTCGTGGCCCTTTCGTTCTCTCTTTACCACCGTCGTATGAAATAACACTGTACCTTTATCGATTACGTCGATACCAAATACACGTCACTCTCACTCCCGGGAAAGGTTCGCGCGTGTGCATGCAACACGGGTACGGACTTATTCGAATTTGCAACAAGTATCAGTTCGATATCCTGTTGAGAGACATTGAAGGACGAATCTCACGTAGGACAAATATCCACAACGTTCTTGTTACCCGGAGTTGGCGGATTTCCACGGTAGATAGATGCAGCGCGAACCAGATGTGGAAGATTCGAAATTTACCAGGTCTCAGTGACTTCGAGGTAGCGTTCGTATAATATTCGAGCTTGTTGAAAAATGAAGTTATAGAGAGTCTCGGAAGAAGGAGACGAGGGGCAGCGCACCACTATGTTGATATAGCTATTCATACCAATGTTGAGTCTACGTCGGGATATTGCGATAAGTCAAAGGTACGACGGTTCATCCCTCTCTGCATCCGGATTTTAGGCTCGTGCAAACTTATCGAACGCTCTTGTACGCGCATCATTTTTTAAGGAGGAATATCTTGCGCATGTGCGGATTCGTGACTTTACGTAAAACGATCGTTTACTTTCGATTCGGAGAAAACTTGAAAGATCCCTCAGACATCGTAACAATATTTGCGATTTATGAGGAAAACAATTTTCGCGGAAATTATTGGCTCGGTCGCATAAACACGATGGGAATATTCTTGTCGAGAAAATATCGCGGAATATGAAAGCTCACGTGGATGGATAGTATATGCGCTTGCATAGGAAACGAGCTTTCGATCCTCTCTCAAATCCAATATGTCCGCGTGATGGATTCTCGTTCAACCTGGAACGACCGAGTGCGGGAGAGCGAGACTAATCGCGTTCCTTATGCGCGCGTTTCTACCGTCGTATGCCATTATTCGATTCATCGTGTATCGATAAATCTTGGTCGCGATGGGAGTCTTAATCCGGGGACTTATCAGGCTTGACGCGGGAGGCAGACGCTCTTTTGAAGAGACGGCTTTCATCACCTTATCATGATTAATTAACACTTTAAATGAGGTTGAGTCCTACTTTATCGTTTGCGAACTTACTCATGCTATACACTTTACAGCTTCAAGATTTTTATTTAGTCGGAAAATTGTCATTTTATCACATCAATTTGAGCTGCATTGTATTACCGTGTTATTTAACACGTTTCACCTACACAAATGCAATTTCCTCTTCTGACTAAATATAATGCAATAATTTTCGTTCACTGCAATCTTGTTTTTTCTTATTTTTTTATTCTGGTAAATTTATATCTACGATTTTTTATTTATTAATATTCTATTATATAGTTACTTATTCTTGTTAACGGCAAATTCCCAACAACGTAATCTACAGCAGTGCAGGCTTCGTTGAAGCAAAATATAATGTATGATACAACGTGGGCGCGACACGGGACCGCAAAGGAAGATAACTCCCTGAGGGCGCGAGAGCCATAATCACAGCCGGCTTGCGCAAAGAGCAGGAGTGTCAGACAGGGTCGGGCAGTGGATCAATCATCTAATACGAGCTATGAATACTGTACATGCTCAATTATAAGCAGCGACTCGCGCGAAACCAGTTGTCGGCGAAAATACCGGTTGGTTAAAAATTATTCACGCTCGGGTTAATCGATTCGCGTGCCACTTAAGTATATTATCATATGACCGCTAACTCGGGGGATTCAATATTACAGCGTCGTAATTCTCGGCGCTTGAGGTAAGCGCTATATTTCACGAATAAGTGGCGGAAGTGACGGAAACGAACTGCCGGATGTTTGTAGCGTCTCGTTTCCCTTACTCGCCTTCAAATGCAACGCAATCCAATCTTTGAGATTGAGTATCGTTAAAACCACTCGTCTCTGTACTCCACCGGATTTCATCCGTGATCTCTTTCATTCTTTAAAGTAGCACAACTGAACCCCTCGATACAACTGTTACCATTATGGCGTCAGAGGCGCGTATGATACATCTCTAAACGCGACTGAAAGAAGCCACGATATCTCTCTTCCATCAATTTTCCATATACGTGTCTCGACTTTGAATTATTTTCTTTCGCACACTTGCCGATTGTCGTTTAAACTTCTAACATCTTTCAACAAACAGTGTAGTATTCCGATTTCGGAATCGAATACTAGACTTTCGTTGAAGATATAGGTACTGTGTGAACTTTTAAGCTCAGACAAACTTTGAAGAGTTCGCTTAAGAATACGCAAGTTTGGTAAAGGAAAGTAAAAAGGGAAGGTTATTTTCTCGGCGGAGAATATCTTTTTTCAATCAAATTAAAACTCGTATATTTACGTTTTCAACGTGATACAGTAGTCGCTCTGAATATCTTGTATACGCAACGCGTTATATACACGTTCTTATAAAAAGAAATCAGAATCGCGAGAACAGTTGCTTTTATCCCGTGGAAAGTGATGTAAGAAGCGTGCCGAAGTATTCGTCTTTGATTTTTCTCTTCGATATCGAAAGATATTTCGCGATAGCAACGTAACGTCTCGCATCTCGGGAGCCGCGAGATGGATTTGAACAAACTCAAACGCTTCCTGTTCTTTGCTGGTAACTCGGGGGCATTGATAGTTCACTGAGCGTAAAAAGGAAAAGTGATATTCGAGCAAGGGGAAAAGCGTTCTTTTCGCCGAGGAATTTTTTCGATAAACAGGGTATCTCGCGGAGAACCTCTCGTTGCCTCTTTCTCTCGCGGAGCTTGGCACGCGGTCGGAAGAACCGCTTCTCGTTTATTTTTTTTCTTCTCTCTCTCTCTCTCTCTACGCGCATATTTTCGACGGAAAAAGCTTGATGAGGAATTCTATGACCGCGATAGCGCGCGACCATAAATGCGGCGCGATGCGTTTCCGGTATATCGGTGCTTCACATCAGTGGTAGTTTTCGTCGGACCCGCACCGTTTTTTCTCACCCTCGGTTTTTATCTCGCTCAATACCCGTATGCTTTATTTTTTTGTGTTTTTGTGCTTACAGTTTTCGGACTATTAACCGACATAGAGCCGTGCGTTTTGCCTTGCGGTATGTACTGCTATCAATGGCGTGGTTAACGAGTTTTTCAATGAAAGCTTTTTATGATATGTGCCAGTATTACCCAGTTTTCAGTTTATTTATAAATATACGTACATAAATATCGTGGTTCTTTTCCCGCTATGAAATGTGTAGTCATGTGTTCGATTGATGAAAAAAATCTTGCGGTCATTTTTTTTATTATTAATTTTGTTAAACCGATAAAATGATGTATAGATAGTGAATTTATTATATCGAATATTGTGTGATAAATTTGACTAGGCTAAGCTAACGTAATAGCATGCTGAGCTGCTTTAATAGATGCTATGCTGCATTGTATGTGCAAGTAAATATATTCTGGAATGTGACACGAGACTTCTTCATTCGTGCAAGTCACGAAAGGAATGCGGATACACTATAGTGATAAGATAGATGCTATCGAATCACATACTTGGTATAATATTATGATTCTTTATGTTTGTGATATTGCAATGATCGAACAATTTATACGCGACATGTGTATTGTAGAATCATTTTTATTGAAATCCGACACTTGGTAAGCTTTTTACGATTCGAATTCTTATATAAAGAATTTCCAGCGTTAATATAAAAGCTCTCTACAAGTTGAAATTATTTAAATTTAATAGAAATTTTCATATGACCACTCGATTAATATGTATTATGTATATTCTTTAATGGA